TTTTCTCTATTATACATGCAAATAAGAACTTCCAAGGCTTTAATCCTAACTAGCATATTATGAAGCAACTATACTGCAAAGACTATTTAGATGACATACCTTTTGGTGTAGCTTGATGTACTCAAGCTTTAAGAGCTTAGCCCCAATAGTTTGGAAGCCTCAAGTGGAATCACAAATCACCAAAACACCTTGGAAGACTTTAGAGAATATGGATACTTGGTTCTCTCTAGTGAAATCGGCTAGCCCTTCTTAGTGTACCACCACTAGTGCACATTTCACCAACCAAAGACATCTTTATATAGTATGGAGACTAGGTTTAAACCCATGACCTTTCATTTCATATGATCCATGGGTTAAAGACTCCATGGACTATGCATTAAAGCTTAGCCCAACCTAAATGAACTTGGCCCATTCCATATATATATATAAGAGTCCATATTTAATTAGTTCATTTTGATCACTTAATTAATTCTAAATTAAGTCTTGATCAATACTAATTAAATAATATGATTCCTTATAAATATATTAGAACTTATAATATATTAATATAAATCATAAATATACTATTCTCAAAATACTATCCATATAAATTGTGTCGGTGAAGTGCAACCCAAATGGACCATGTCGGGTCGGGTCAAGTACATACCAAATATAGTTATGGACTTAGACATTAATCCAACAGTGAGTTCTATGAGTTCTCATTTGGATGCATAAAAGGCAACGACCTTGATCAATGAAAATTATATTGATAGAAAAGGGTGAACTGCTTAACTACTTGGAAGACATTGTGGGTAGCCGTGTTACCTTAAGGCAAGAAATCAAGATTAAGAATGTTCGGTCCATATGAGTTTGGATTTGTCGCAAACTTTGGTTTTGACAAATTCACATGGATAGGAACACACACATACACCATTAAAATCTAAGTGTCATAAGATTCCCCCCTTCATGAAAATGACTGTGAGGAAATGCTTTCACTAAGAGAGATTTTAAGAAGATAGCAATTGTAAAATTGCATTCTCAAAATTGATTATGGTTACGGTATCCCTCTCCATGACTCGAATTGTGAGATTTGGCAATTAGTCTTAATTGTTTAAGACACATATGAGCTATCTTGGATAAAGGTGTATGAGATTAAGAAGCCTTGATAAAGGATTATCAAAGCATTAAGTATTAGAAACATGAACTTAAGAAATTCAATAGGTATTGTTTTTCTGGAAGTTAAGCTGGTTTCTGAATACATGTCAAAGCTATTGGGAGCATAAGCGTTATGTTTATAATAATCATCATGATAGTGGGAGCATAAATGTTATGATTGTATGGTTATTAAGGCAAGTACTGCAAGTTAGCAATATTAATTATAGAAAACAAGAGTCATACTTTGCAAAGTTGTAAGGGTTGAATACTTGTTTTGCTATAATTAAGGGAGAGAATATTATGTTTCATTTCAAATCTAAAGGCTTAGATCGTGGAATGTTAATAATTTAGTCAAGGATATATAGTGTGTTCTTAGATTTCGATTATGATTACGACATTCCTCTTCATAATTCGAATTGTAAGAACATAGTACACAGAATATTATGGCAGAAGATTGATAAAGTATCAAATCTTTATGTAAGACATTTTGAATCGTGTCCCATACGCTTTGGGTATATGATCGATTGCAAATGCTACAATATTTGACCATTCTAAAATTTTCCAAATGTCTAGCGCATTTAGAGGGAAAAAGGACAAGAATCGGTTTTGACTAAGATAATTAAACAACTATCAAAGGATAATCCAAAGTTCGCCGAGGATTGGTCGCTTGTGAGTAGTTGGAAGTATAGTATTGGATGGAGTATATCGATATTTTTATGAATAGATAAGATTCTATTAAGAATGAGTAGTAATATGGTAAGTATGGAAAGGTTTACATATTGGGAGTTAGATATTGAGAATCTATGTCTAGATTAGAAACTTTATGCAAAAGGATGTTCAAAGAAATGTACTTTGAGTGAGAGACATCACATCTATGGAATTGTCTTGTAACAATTTCCGATAGAGAACTTTGTAATTCATTGGCAGTAGTCATTGTGACTTTAGTGCAATGACATTACAAAAGGATCTTTGCATAAAATGTTAGATTTTAACATATTCTATAAGTGGCAAGAATTTGATATTCTTACACTTATGAAAAAGGATTGGGAGTTGTGAGATGAGTATGATTGGAAATGTGTTCATTTGATCTATTTCATAAAGTAAGAACCATAGGTAAGCATTGTGTGCATGCTGAGAGCATAGGACAAGTGTTATAATTCAAGTAAGAAGTTGATTACCCGAAACGACAAATAATGAGTAATCGATATGGTGATAAATAAAAGGTGTTTTATTTATACTCAAGGGTTTGGGGCCATATGGGATTAGTATTATCCTTGTGTTTCACTTTGCATGTGTTGACTTCCTGTATAATTTAAATTGGTTAAGAATAGTCAAATTATTCAAATGGGCCACAGTCGTTCATATGTTGGAAGTAGGTATGAATGAAGACTGTTATGAATTGGTGTGTGAATGTATAAAAGAGTATTAGGCATAAGCAAATGTTTATTGTAACGTTCATGAGTGCTTATGAATATGATTTGAGCATTGGATTAAACCCATGCTCACTTGGATCACTTCATGGATTTTATCACGAGTGATTGGTGAGACGATAACATCTTATATTCTTGAAACCGAGATGTGTGAGTTGTATCTTGCAAATCGGTTGCACATTGGTAATATGTAAACACACTAGTAACTTGGTGAGTGAGTGCAAGCGAACATTGAGTGAAAGTTTATCCGTTCCTTTTATCCAAAGTAGGATAAAAGCGATATCTTTGGGCCCCTCGATGATTTAGTGATGACAAACGTAAATGCTCGGCCGGGCAAGGGCTAATTTTATTTGTTCAATTAGTCAGTCATCATAAATCGGAAGTTGAGAAATGGTACAGAGAGAATGATTAGAAATCATGTCTTATACGATATCTAGAATGGAGGAATATATGATCCCTTATCTAAAGGACACGCGTATCTGATAGGATCAGAGTTGACAGCGGCTTTAGAAAGTTACAATTGCAGATCAAGATCTGAAGTCATACGCAGAATAGTTATTAGACTTATCCAAGTGGGAGACTGTTGGATTAGTGTCTAAGTCCATAACTATTTTGGTATGTACTTGACCCGATGGTGCATGGTCCTTTTGAGTTGCCTTCACCAAAGCAACTTGATAGGATGAATTATGGAGAGAAAGGATTAAATATGATTTATTAATATATTATGGGAATAATATATTAAAGGAGAAATCATATTATTTAATTAATATTAGTCAGGAACTAATAAGAATTAAGTCTGTGACTAAAAGAGATTAATTAAACTTAAGGGATTGGAATTGTAATTATAAGATAATTGCAATTGGGCTATGGATTACCTTATTATATAAGGTTGGACGAATTCTATGGGGAAACCCATTAGAAATCATCCAAGGCCTTTAAGAAAGGAATCCATGGGCTGCTTAGGGCTTAAGCAGTCAGATTAGGGTTTCCTAGTTTAAAACTCTAATAGCCTACATGTATAAATAGCACCCTTAAGCCCCAAAAACGTGGTGAACTTGTTCTCTAGGGTTTTGGACGATTTTGGGCAGCCTCCTTCTCTTCTCCTCTTCATCCTCTTGCTCTTGGTGTTTGTGAACCATTAGAGGAGTGACATTTGTGACTCTACGCTTTCTAAAGTCATTACAACAAGGAATTGTGATTGTTATTGCTACACAACAATCAAGGTATGATCTAAACCCTAATTATATGTTGTATTGATTATCATATGCTAGATCTAGGGTTTATAGTCTTGGATGAATTGCATGTACAATAAAGAAACCTAGATCTAAGCATTAGGGTTTGTATGAGCACATAAGATGTTCTTATGACCAAAACCCATCATATGTGTGAATGTATATTCACTTCTTCTATCTCATAGATATGATTTATTCTCTATGAAATACGTGTTATGTGTATGTGTCTCATCTGTTGTTTTGGAATATGTATTGAATGAGAATGTTATATAGGTTTTAAACTATGTATAAAAATATATATATTTTTATCTACTAATATGCCGGGTAGAACATGGGTAGATAGTTGACGTGTGATAAACAGATGAGAGGCCTCGATGTTGTTTTTGATTTAGTCATCTAGCGGAGTTTAGATGACGACCACAGACTTTTCTAGACAGTCCTGTGGAACGCTAGCAGGTTCGCCACCTGTAGGTGTTAATGAACTTGGGTGTTCATTTGTTGTACTCCATCCCCCTCATGGTTGCCTTATTTGACATATATTGTCGGGAAACCCCCGAATGCATGTGATGTCTCCCCGATGAAATATTCTAAGACTAGGTCCCTTGTGTTAGTTGTTTTATGGACGTAAAGTGAGAATAACGGGAATGGGTAATTGGGCTATTGTGGTTGGTGGAATTAAATATAATTATTTATTGTGGGTTGAAAACCCTATATGCTCACCAGGCTCCCAAGCCTGACCTACTCAATTTTATTTATATTACAGGAAGTAGCGCAAGGGCATAAGATGGATGAATCATCAAGTTGTTTTTTTTACAAGTCTCTCTCTCTCTCTCTCTCTCTCTCTCTCTCTATATATATATATATATATATATATATATATATATATATATATATATATATATATATATATATTTGTTGAATGACTTGTAATGTTATCGTTTATGCTTTATGGTCTGTATCGGAACATGACATCCCGAGTTTTGATTATATAATGAAAATACATTTCTTTTATGAAATGCTTTGGTAAATATTATTTTATCACGTTTTGTTTTTGGGAACAAATTTCATAACTCTTTCAAATCAAAATGTTTTACTCTGAAATTATTTTAAAAGCATAAATGAAAATCGGTCTTTTCTGGTCGAGATTTTGGGGATGTCACACTCGATGTAGTGGGCAAGGCCTAATGTATGCTATTATGTGATTATGTGTATGGTATGTGGTAGTTTGGCGCGACTCACTAAGCTTTGTGCTTACAGTTTTTAGTTTTGGTTTCGGGTACTTCCACTAGCAAGGGGAAGAGCTTGGGATGACTGCACGACACACACCGCGACTTTTAGCTTGGGATGATTTACTCTGATGTTTTGACATATGATTTTGATATATTGATAGTTGTTTATAACATTTATGAGATACACGAGTTATGATTTTTATATGATGAATGATACTTATGGTTTTTATTTATGGTTTAAAACGAAATTTTTGGACCGTATTTTTGGGATGTTTCAAAGAGATCGTAATTCTGAAGCAGGAGTCTATTGAGAATGACCTGTTGATTGGAAATTTAGATGTGAGAGTCTATGAGCTTGAAAAGGAGAATTCTCAAAAGAATAAGCAGAAATCAGATCTTCAGGCCAATCTTGACGGGTTGACAGCTCTTTATTTTGATATTAGAGACAAATTAATTGGACAAATTGGTGATGAGTTTAAAACTTCAAGTTCTAATGATGGAAAAGTTTCAGAGACGTCTAAGAGAGTCATGGTCTCTCCTGACCCAGATGCTAACATTGATCAATTTTTGTCCCCTGTCCCTATCACAGCCGAAGAAAGAAGGGAGAAGAAGAGAAAAGTTGATAAGCTGAAAAAGGATAAGAGGCTTCTGATGAAAAACTCTTATTAAAATGCACCTGGTGATCACCCAACGATGTTCATTAAAGAAATTGGAAAAATAAAATTTGTTGATAGATATGGTGATCGCTCAGGAATCTTATGTTGGGATATGAAGTTGATAAGAAGATGTGGATTGTGAAACAAAAGAGCGGAAACATTGAGTATTATGCGAAGAAGATTGACTTTGTGTCTTAGACAAAAGTTGATCTTGCATAGATGGTCCATGCACCGTTCCACATTCCAATAAATGATCCTAACGCATGGGCGTTTAAAGGTTCCTTGAAGACAAAGCTAAGATGAACTTTGAAGGCTTGAAAACAACATCATGATTCATTAAAAGGGCCAAGGGTGTCATAGATCCTCACACTAATAAGACTATGGTAAATGTCATGTGCCCGCTTACGAATAAAGCGAAAAGATCCATATCATTCAGCGTGTACCTGATGGCTCTTTGAATGATTTATTATATTGGGTATATGATGAGACTACATAGACTGTTGTTCTCAAGTTGAAAAAGGATCTGTTTCGTCTTGTTGATCCTTGGGATTTGCTGAAATTTGGCGAGCATGACATTCATACCTTGTCCAAACATCAGCTTATGGTGGAGAATGAAATGTTTGAAGCGATGCAAAGGCGTTTAACGACATGTTAGCGACTATCATTGATAAGATGTTGTGGGCAGGAGCATTGGCTAATTCTGATGTTCATCTTGTGGAGAAGTCGTAAAGTTAGCCAGCAATAAACAAAGGGAGAGATTGTTGGGTCATATTTAAATTGTTTATGTTGAGCTTCTAGTCTTTTTATTGTTCTTGGGCTTTAAATAACGGGTTTATAGTGTTTTCGGTTATGGGGACCAAAATCACTATGCATCATGGGTTTGGGCTTTTTAAGCTTTGTACTTGGTTGTATATATATATATATATATATATATATATATATATATATATATATATATATATATATATATTCAGCCATTTACATGTTCTAGTTGTTCAATCTTTGTGGTATTCGGTTGTTAAGAGTATTCTTGTGTACCAGACGATTTCATTTAATAAATCGTATGCATTAAGAGTTATTTACGTGTTCCTGAATCACTATCTGATTTATATTTTTCTTTATTTAGATAGTTTGATTGATATCTTATTGAGCAAACTATTTTGGGACTTACAAATTTCAAAATATACATAAACATTAGCATCTATTTCAGAAAATACATAACCAATAACATATAATTTTATCATAGATTCTAATATGATTCTAGACAAAGAAAAAAAAAGAATGGTTGTTTACCGTTTGACTTGGTGAGATCATTAATTCTTATATGGAGATAGCGAGAATAAGAGAGTCTTGATCAATATTCAATTTTAGATGAAGAAGCTACCAACAAAAATCAGCAAGTAAACAATCAAGGAGTCAAGAAGTTTAATTTTAAAATTAAATAATGTATTACAACATTAGATAATATACTTAAATAAATTTTAAAAACTTAAAATATAATAATAAATTTAAAGATAATAAAATAAATAAACAAATTATTTTTAAAATATTTATTATTTATATTTAAAAATATAAACAATTATTAAATAGACTTAAAATAAGTAATGATATATATATATATATATATATATATATATATATATATATATATATATATATATATATATATATATATATATATATATATATATATATGTTCAGGCTCATTTGAGACCATTCTAATTTTGTAAGACCGTAAAACCAAATCTAAAAATAATTTTAAAATGCAAAATAAATGGAAAAATCCAAAAATTCTTTTTTTAAATATTATTTTCGGAACTTAAATTAACTAAAAAAAATTAAAAAAATTAAAAAAAAATCCCGTTTTTTTTTTTTTGAAAAATACGTGAAATATTCTAAATAAAATATTACACTAACATATTCTAAAAAATAATTTTAAAATGCAAAATAAATGGAAAAATCAAAAAATTCTTTTTTTAAATATTATTTTCGGAACTTGAATTAACTAAAAAAAATGCGTCTCACGGTTTCACAAAATTAGGCCGTCTCACATGAACCTATATATATATATATATATATATATATATATATATATATATATATATATATAGGTGGGTTCAATTGAGAAAATAAAAAAAGGTTGAGAATGGGGGAATCATTCTCAGCCACTCATTTAATCTAAGCATAAAAGACACGGTGGCAAACTTGTAAATATCGTAATAACCTTCAATCTCCAATACGTAACTATAGAGAATTCGATAACTGTTCGTTTATCATCAAAAATTTTCCTCCAACCTTCAATAATCATCTAGATTTCTTCAACTAAACCGTAATTTCTTTGCTGTTCATGAAATTGAAATCAGAGTTCTGGACTCACAATCACAGTCGACATTGAGGGACTTAGAATCGGTACTCACAGGTTCCCAATCAGATTTTCGGAAATCAAAATCAAATTGAGAAATCGATCAGAGATAAGATGTCGCATCTGAAGTCGAAATCGAAAGTATATGATGATTTGGAATTGATAACTTGATGTTTTTAACATTTTTAAAATAGTTAACTTGTTTGCACTCCAACTGTTTGATGAAATACATAAACTAAATTACCACGTTATATTCACATATGAATATGTTTTCTCACCTGAATCAGTATATGATTATTAAAAACACAAAACAAATATGCAAGTCTATATGTTATTCATATGTAAATAACATATAAAAATTATATATATTTGCCAAAATACCTTCAATATTCATAAGTGAATATACCTTGTAATATTCATATGTGAACATACTGTGTAATATTCATAAGTGAATATATCATCTAATATTCACAAGTGAATATACTCCATAATATTCAAATGTGATAGACTATATAATACTATGTAATATTCACATATGAAATATCATTTAATACTCATAAGTGAATATACCATCTAATATTCACAGGTGAATATATTATGTTAATATTCACAAGTGAATTCATCGTCCAAATCATATTTTTTATTCATAAGTGAATAACGAATGTACTGTAATAAAACCTGATGCATTGTTATTCATTTATGAATAACGATAGCTGAAAATATAATATATATATATATATATATATATATATATATATATATATATATATATATGTTATCTTAAAACTATATCAATATGGATGTCTATTTGTAGAGAATAAAAAATCATGAATTTTGATATATTTAAAATCATTTTTTGATAAAAATAGCTTATAAAAATTAAAAAAAACTATGTTTTTGTATATATTAAGGTTTTTTACTAAATTTATAATCTTCTCATCTCCATTATATATATATATATATATATATATATATATATATATATATATATATATATATATATATATATATATATATATATATATATATAATGGAGATGAGAAGATTATAAATTTAGTAAAAAACCTTAATAATTTTATATATATATCGGAGATGAGAAGATTATAAATTTCGTAAAAAACCTTAATAATTTTTTAAAAAATATCAAAAAAAAAGAAAAAACGACTTTTCAAAATATAGTCAAACCAATGGCATATAGCTAGTCCTCATCTGCAATGTACTCGTTCCATTTGCTATTTGCTCATTTTTATCAACGATTTGTTCCTTTCCATCAACTATTTGTAGATGAGAGTGACGAAACAGCAGATGTGGCTAATTACATTTCGTTGGCTATTTTACGAAAATTGTTAAACTTTTGGTATTTTTCAAAATTCAATAAGAATTTTTTTTTTTTTTTTTTTTTGGGTACGATAAACCCTCATATACAAATGGCATGTCAGCTGGCTCCCACCATCCTAAAGAGGTGTTCAAATGCAGTCGGCCGACTTTTTACGGCAACAGAGGGGCGTCAAGAAGAGACTCAAGATTGTGGCCTGTCACTCTCCAAAACTCCCTATTTCCTCTTTTCTGTAGCCACCCGTTTACTAAACCCGCTCCTCCAATCTTACGTGTGTCAATCACATCTCAATTCACCCACCCATCATTTTCCGACACCAGAACAATCTTCATCTTCAATTCCTTAATCTTCACCCAAATTACACTCATACCCAAAAGATTTCGCGTGAAGATACCAAAGATCGCGCCCTTTTAGGCTATACCCACCAAGTGTTTGTTAAAAATACTCATTTTAATAACTTTGAGAATATAAAATCCGAAAACAAATGGCAACTGCTACTTTGGGTTCATCGACTCTAAGCCAATCGCAGATTAATGGTTTTATAAAGCCGTCTATCTCCCAGTGTAACACGCTCCCTTGCACAAGGTATAGTTTTACTTCTCTAAATTCGTAAGGATCTCGACAACATTCCAAATGTAGTACTCATAATTTTCAAATTCATGATTAAATTCAAAGGAGAACCATTAGAACAGTCGTGAAGGCTAGTTCTCGAGTTGATAGATTCTCAAAGAGTGATATAATTGTTTCTCCATCGATTCTGTCTGCAAACTTCTCAAAGTTAGGAGAGCAGGTCAAAGCCGTTGAGGTGGCGGGTTGTGATTGGATCCATGTTGATGTAATGGATGGCCGATTTGTTCCAAACATAACAATCGGACCTCTTGTTGTTGATGCATTGCGCCTTGTTACAGACCTCCCATTAGATGTTCATTTGGTAATGAACTCTTCTTTTTGCAAATAATAATTCTCATTCTCATATATCATTCAAACCAATGTAATGAAAACTATAAAAATGGCAGATGATTGTGGAACCTGAACAACGAGTCCCCGACTTTATAAAAGCTGGGGCAGACATAGTCAGTGTCCACTGTGAACAATCTTCCACCATCCATTTACATCGAACTATTAATCAAGTGAGATTTCATACGTTTTCTTGAAATCTAAAATCTTTTTTATTTGTCGTTTTTTAATGTTCCTTTTTTCATTCAGATTAAAAGTCTTGGAGCAAAAGCTGGAGTAGTGTTGAACCCTGCAACACCATTAACAACCATAGAATATGTCCTAGATGGTAAATTATACACAATTTTGTACATTTAAG